TCAACTAATGTAGTCCTATAAATAGAATGAATACAGAAATTGTGTAATAAAACAACAGAAGAGTAAAAGATAAGTTTCATACTGAATTGCTCTGTATCCATGGTGCATGTAATCTCGTAGTCTGATCCATACCAACACTCAGTAAAAAATCACCATTCTGGGGATCCCAATCAATATCTTCAACCGAACCAAAGTGACCGCTGACCACAACACCTGGGGACCATCCATTATCACTCTATACAGAAAGGAAAATGGTAATTAGAAATACAATACATACACCATAAAACTAGTTCAGATATTTATGGTACAGTATATAACCTAATGTTTGTCCACACTAACAAAGTGTACTTGACAAATTGTGACCTGTTGAAATATTGATGTGATATGACATCATCATGATTTGTTCCAGAAAAATTTAGTGTGGGGAAAGCAAGTATACTGTTTCATTTTTCATAGAACTACTATTAGGTTATCAAGATTATCAAATTTTCCTTGACAAAAAAACTATTATATGCCCATATAGGGCAGTCATTATGTGATGTCATCATTACCATATATAGGCTTGTCACATGTTTTTGTCAAATAAAATTTTATAGTGTGGATATGTGGTTTTAAATGCTCAATTAAAAGTGGCTTGTATGAATATTGTTGGTAGATAGAAGTGCTATACAATATTTTATTATTCCTTTTATTGACAAACAACTCCCTAAGCCTTCACTCTGGTTGTTTGAAAGCAAGCACGCCAGCTGTAGTTTGGCAGCATAAGATGCTTGAATTTCAGTCCTCGTGTTTAGTATTGCAAAACATCATTAAGAAGGACCCTATTTATCACACTGATAGCAAACAAAACAATTACATCATTGATATAGTTTGTATAACAATTTATATAATAATTATTGATACGTAATATTTGAAATAGTCCTACATACCTCTGCTCCATCTGTGTGCCAAAGATGGAATGCCCCTTGGAATCCATGCCCGAGTATGGAGTCTCCAGTGGGGCTGAACTGACACCCGTACAGACCTAAAGTATTTCCTCCTACCTCACCTACACGCACCTGTAAGAGAGGCATGCATGTGTAGCGAGTTTGGCTCAAATACCAACTTTCTTTCAGACTGATGTAATGGTGACAAAGGAGTGAGGCCTTTCTGACAAGTTTGCATTGATGACTACTGAGGGACAGATGACCTAGTTCTCAACTTCAGTGGACATTAAGTGTTTTGGAACAGACAGTTCTACTATTTTCTGATTTGTGCTCTAATTAACAAAAACAATAGTATTGTTTATCCAACCAATCTTTCATAAAAAGACATTAATATTTTAATTAATATTATTGTTCATATTTTTGTTCAATATCAATGCATCCTTTAATTGGCAGCAGTCATGGTGATTATAAAGAAATAAGAAGGCTCATATGACACTTACACTATCCATCCAAATTCCTGAGTCAGCATCTAGCCTCCATATTATCATTGTCTTGTCCATTGACGCTGACACCAGGCACATTGGTTGGTGGCGCACTCCATCTGAAATTTTTAAAAAAGCACCAATCCGAAGCATATCAAAGCATCTTCCAATGCAAATGTAGATTAAAAGCAAATTTAAAGCCCTATGCTATTACACTTGGCAGGGAAATTATTTTTTTCTTATAACACCATTGTCACAACAAACATCATCATCAACATTAACATCATTATCATCATCATCATCACCATCATCATCATCAGTCATACATCATCATCATTATTCGAAGATAATATCAAATTGAGATATAAAATTAAATTTTTCGTCAATATCTATTATCCATATCAGGAAAGCCAGCATAGAACTGCTAGGCCAACCACCCCTGCACTGCAAACATGATAATGTAAAACAGCGTCAGTACAAATATCAGAATGTTATTGTTACTGCACCTTTAAATACAGCAGGTTTCCAATGTACATCATACACCCAGTTCTCATGGCCAAGTAACACAGACTCTAAAGATACATTAAATCGTTTAGTCTTTTCTGGGAAAGTAGAAAATACAAGTTGTTTCATTAATGAAATGAAAACCACCTTAAATGAAACACATAGAAAATCAAAAATCAAGATACAATAAAACTTTTGGTCTTTGTATACAAGACAGTCAGGAAGGAAAAACCAGCTATTTATCATTTCAACACTTACACCAGCAAATCATTTTTTTAAAACTTTACCTAAATTCTTGTGATATACTTGGAGACAATCCCCCACTCTTTTGTGAAGATTGTACTGTAGTTTTTAACATGCACATGGACTGCACATAGACAGACAACTTAAACATCTCATCCGATAAACAAAGGACTGTTTTAACTTTTAGTTCAGCCTTCCAACTAAAACATAAGAGCAGCAACTGGAATCGAACTATGAACCAAACATCTTAAAGGATTCTCACAGTAGAGTACACACACACACACACAGTGATTACGACCAGTTAGGCCGAGAAATACAACAAGCTATACAATGTTACATGTGTACTATACCTCTAGACATTACAGAGAATGTATTTCCTTCTATTTTAATCTCTTCATTTCTGTTGTCCAAAGCCTCTTCTTTTTCAGGTGATATTCTCCAAAGACGAATAAAAAAATCCTGTCCACAGCTAGCCAACAAAAGGTCACCATCATCTGGGATAGAGAAGCATATGCAAATTAGACCACATATATGGAAATGAGATTAAATGAAATTCAAAGACATTGCATGATCATTCTAATTTAGAGAGATCTTGAAGTATTGATTTTAATACATTGTCTGCCACCGGGAATGACAACCTAGGTAGCCAATTATTTTATGGAGTTTTATAAATTAAGTAACATAATTATTAACCCCCACCCACAAAAAAAAAATAAATAAAAAAATAAATAACCATTATGTTACGAATAACCTCCATAGCAGAGCTAATTAAGATTACGATTACTAAAATAATAATTTAATAATACAGTGCACATTCAACTTTATACCAGTGACAATAGCTTGTACAGCTCTAACCCAGTCTTCATGGCCCTGTAATGTATTCACTTTAACAAATTGTCCACCAGACTCCACGTACAATAGCAACTTGCAGTCATCGTCCCCAACAGTTAGTATAGCAGCTGTAATAAAAACAAAAATTCGTAAAGACCAGTGGTGGCTACAGAAATTTGCTGACAGGGGTTATGACATGTCTGACAGGGAGGTCCAAACTAAGGGCTCGACTGGAGCTTCAGTGAGGGTCCCGAAATAAAATTACCCGCGTAGGGTCCACAGGGAGATTTTCTATGGCTTGGCATGGCCAAAATTGTTCATTAGGACCTCAATGTTAGGGATTTGCCAATCAAACGTTATTTGGATAGGCAAATTATTATTTCTGGGCTGAAGACCATGTTGTGGTGTTGTACGATAGGAGGTACAGGCCTGTCCGACGAAAAATGCCCTCCTCTTTCAAATATAAACAGGAAAAAATTTATCATCTAAAAACACATTTTCTTGAGTCTCGTAACCATTTGTAATGTTTCTTAATGTTAGGCCAAGTTTAACATATTATACAAATAATGATTATTACAATAAATTCTAATATCTATATAATTCTACTAATAATAATGGTAATAATGGTAATAATGATAATGATAATTGAAAATATAAGTTAATGTAATTAAAGCCAAGCACACGCTGCGGTTGTCGGCCTAAGTGATTCCATGGAGAATGCCCAAGATAAGTCGGACACTCGCTGTGATGGTACGATCAATCCAACTCTGCTACACGACACAACGCCGATTGTCCGTGAGAGTCTGAATGAATCATCCTTAAAAACAATCCATTGTGCGAGCATTGTGGTGTTGCGTTCTTTACAGTATCGTGTGAGTGTCCGACTTTAGTCGCAATGTGCACCTGGCTTAATGTAAATTTTGTTCCCATTATATACGATCTTACTGTTTGTTGTGGGGAGGACGCACCAAGCCAAACATAGAGCAAAACCCTTGCCACGTGATATTGTCTGCAAAAGTTTAAATTCATTTTCATCTTGTCGTCTCTCCCATATCTTAATGGTTGAATCGGTTGAAGTTGATGCGATTAGCGTTCTTGGCTTTAATGTGGACTGACCTTCCTCATGTAGGTAAATTGCATCAACTATTGTTACTATGCCATCGTGACCTGCCAGTGTTGATGTCACCTCATACTTTCAAAATGTGAACAGAAAAAATTTATGTTATTTTATTATTATTGTTGTTTATTGTTATTATTGTTTATTTTATTCTATTTAGGCCTATCTTATTCCTTTAGGCACATGGCCAAGGATAACTAGTAGCGAATTAATCATTGTCCTATATTAGATACAGTAGGTGGCAAACCCTTCACAAGACAATCATAAACACGATGCTTTACATAGACCAAGACTCATATAAAGCGTATGGAGTGGAGTTGTTTTGCTCGTGAGGAAATAATCCTGTTACTGTGACAGAAATTTAACCCAGGACCCTGGGATTGGAAAGCAAGCATCTAAGGGCCCGTTTATACAACACACTTTAACACTGCTTAGCAAAGATGTGTGTTGCATAAACGCAATAGGGATTCTGTGTGATTACAAACACCTTTGAAAAAGGCTACTTCAAATAATCCCCAAATTTGGTTGATTGGGATTCCTACTTGTGCCTGCAGGCAATATCAAGTGGTAATTAATCACTGACCAAGTCAAGGTCACCAAGAAGAGTACAGTTTATCAGTGAAAAACTTCTGCATAGTTTATTGAAGCCTTATATTATGCAGAATATAATCAATTGATTAAGATGTTAAAGTTAAACCTAAGAGAGTAATCTTTAAATTTTGTCAGATTATAATTTTTGTTTGTAAATTGCAGGTCTATTGTGAACAAAAGGCAAATTAAGGTAGAGTTTATTAACTTTCACTGTTCTAGTGGGAGACCGCTGAGGGATAGGCCTACTGTAGTGTTTACAAAACAATGGGCTGGACGGAAAGTAGGGGCCTACAGTTAAGGTGTGCACTCTTCTGCATTTGGGGATAAAAACAAATTGTTGATTTGAAAACACATCCCACAATGCAATGCTTTTTGCTGTAACACGGTTTCAAAATTACAAGTATAAAATGAGTGTCAATGGTGGATCGGCCTCCAGCACTAATTTGTGTTCAATGACACAACACTGTGTTCAATCCAACAGTGTAGTATAAACACAGCCTTACCAGTGCCAAGCTATTCAACTCCACACTTTATAAAGAGGTTTATTAGAAAACACCCTTTTAACTTTACAACAGGCATATAGATACAATGGTGTTACAATGGTTAATGGTTTTAAACTTAATAAAGCGCACGATACAAAAAGTCTCTATGTGCTGTAAAAATAAGTGTAGAGATGTTTGGCAATGTGTAAGAATAAAAAAAAAAATAGATAAAAAATTTAAAAATAATAAAGCTGAAAGTTCTAAGCCAGCGCTCAAACCACAGTATGGGGATACGCCCTTCTGGCTAACCAGGGATTGATCAAATTGAAACCCTGTTCAGCGTCTGTTGAGTTCTCGGTCATCTCAGACTCAGACGCCTCCTATCCTAATTAAAAGCTAACAAAACCCACTGGTATGGAAATAAACCAGTAATGTACAATACGATTAAGAAGGAAAAAAAAAAACAGTCTTTACTGGACTTGAGCTTGACTTATTATTACTGAAGTTTCTGCTGTAACTGAATTTTAGTTGAGTTACCTGATCTCCATTTTTCGTCCAGATTTTGATAGTTTGGTCTGAGGAAGCCGAGATCAGCTCATTCACAGTTTCAGTTTGATAAACCAATGATGGCATTTCTTGCACCCATTTCACACAGTTCACTCTAACTTTGTGACCTTGCAACACAGATATAATCTTCCCTGTAGAAGATCTTGACTGAAAACAATTGCAATGTGTATGTTCAATTATTTATTTCTTTAAAGAGGATAGATCTTTGACTAGCCATAGGCCTAGTAGTAGTACCCCATAGGACTAGTAGTAGATAGTACCCCAGCGGTAAGTTCAATAAAAGGGGAGGGGCCTAATAAGGACTAGTTTGTGTTGCTTGCAATGTTATATTAATCATCACTTTATTTGCAATTCCTTTCATATCGGGCAAGTGGGGCTCTATAATAAACATAACGTGTAAACAACATCAAATATTTTTTTCAAATATTAAAAATACTGAAAAAGTAGTAGGTAGGCCCTGCCTTACTGTATTCCCCGGAATCCAGGCACTACAATTCCTTATATGAGCCTAGGAAAGTCAACAAAAATCTGCTTAGCATGCCTAACTTCTTGTGAGTCCGTAATAGATTATGGGATCACTATACACCTACCCCCGGATCGTAAAGTATGATATTTCTATTCGATGCATATGCGACGACATTTTGATGACTCCAATGTACGCAATGTGGTACGCAATTACATCCAGCAGAAACATAACATGTTTCAACACATTTAGCAATGGAGGCTGACATCTTAATTCTAGTGGAGAGCTCGAAACCCGACTATAGAGGGCAGCAGAGGCATTTTAGGATCTAAAAATAAACAACCATTTCAATAATGTATCTGTATACCGATATATAGGCCTATACAGTAAATTAAATTATTAAATAATTGAGATCAATTATGTTACTAATCGTAACGTCATGATAAAATCGTATATAATCGCCTTCATAAAGAAAAAGCCAAAATCGATTTTAAGGTAGATTCTATTATTAATGGCATATCAAAAATCCTCTCTAGAACAAAAAATCATTTTATTTATTTATTTATTTACACTCTCATTCTACAGCGGGAAACCCGCCACTTACAGATTGGATTAAAATATTAAATATTAAAATATGACAATATGATTAATATAATAATAATAATAATAATAAATAATAATAATAATAATTAAGTAAAAAAAAAAAGGAAAAAAAATGGCTCGTGGGGGAATCGAACCCACGACCTTAAAAAAAATTAAAATTTAAAAATTTTTTTAAAAAACTTGCCCCGTGTGGGCATCGAACCCACGATCGCTGAGTTTACTACCCTTGATCCATAATTTTATTACTTTACCTTCTCATTTTTAAACCACAATTATACCAATGTCTTTCGATGTTTCCGTTTCTTTTCTTTTTCTTTCTTACACTTTCCTTTTTTGTCATATGTTTCCTTATCTTTTTCCTCTTCTTTCTTATGTTTCTTTTTCTTCTTTATTCCTTTCTTATGTTTCCTTTTGTTTCTATGTTTCATTTTCTGTTTTAGTCTCTCGTTTTCTTTCTTATGCTTCCTTTCCATTCCATTCTTTCTTATGTGTTTGTTCTTATTCTTTTCCTTTTCTGTCTTACGATTTTTTTAAATTCTATTCCTTTTATCTTTTTCTTTCCCACTTTCTTTCTTATTTTGTAGTGAAAATCAGGGCCCCCGTGACTCTTTTCAGGGACCACCGTTTCTCTATTGATTTAGCATCACTAGATAAAAAAATGAACGGGTGGGCGGGGGAACCTCCAGAAAAAGGGCGGAACGTCCTTTAAAGTCGGATAAGCTTCTCTTAGCAGACCTTAGCATATGATCATATACTTTTTTCGACAGTGTGCAATCTTGTTCTTTTAGAATTAGAATGACTTTGTTCTTTTATTTTTGTTTTTGTATTTTTTTTAATTAGAAGAAATGTAAACCACAAATATAGTGCAAATATTTATAAGATTGTGTCCCCTCACTCACAGTTATGAATTTTCCTATCTGTTTTCCATTTTTTCTCTCGGTTTATAAAATACCCATTCGGTGACCATCATTAGATTTTTTTCTAATTAAAGCTTGATTTCTGCTCCTTTGCATATTTCCCTGAGATATACAACATTTTTAACACTTTAAAGTTATTATTTGTCGTATTAAACAACGTACGATCTTTGCGTGCATGCTGTAACAATCACAATTTACAGCCATGGTTACAGCATACATTTTACACGATCTTTTGTTACCTTTTCGCCAGTGACGTCTTGGTAAAATCGTATATAATCGCCTATAACTTCATAAAAAAGCCAAAAAACGATTTTAAGGTTGGTTCTATTATTAATGGCATATCAAAAATCCACTCTAGAACAAAAAATCATTTTGCTAGTTCTCTTTTAAAGGTTCATGTTGTTAACGATGATGATGATGATGATGATGATGATGATGATTATGATGATGATGATGATGATGATGATGATGATGATGATGATGATGATGATGATGATGATGATGATGATGATGATGATGATGATGATGATTACATGACTTGTCGACTTCGTTTTTGTAAGATGGAGAATGTGTGAAAGGGAGATTCTTTCTGCTGTCCATGTTTTCGTGGCGCATAGCAATGAATGTCATGTTATTCAAAACAACGGCGTTGCAGTAGAGGTGCTATCTGTGCCAAATCTATTTTGCAATCATTAGGAAGCTGACACAAGGATGATACTGCACAGTGTGTGTACAGCAAAGTCAAACAGTCGCATTGTTGTCAATAGCCCAGATACAGATTTGTTTTGAAATTTTGACATTCTATGCCTATTTACTGTAATAAGAATGAGAAAATTTACCTGACCGTTTTCAAGAGGGGGAAAACGTTGAATTTTGAAGAACTTAAAAGTTATTAAAAGACACCGCAAGTCAGGAAAACTCATTTCCCGCCATCTAGGAATCAAAATTTTCCGGACCCCTTTTCATTTTGTGGGTTTGGAACACAGCCTAATTTTTATTTACAGGTATTTATTTATTATCATTATTATTATTATTATTATTATTATTATTATTATTATTATTATTATTATTATTATTATTATTATTATTATTATTATTATTATTATTATTATTATAAAGAAATGGAGAAAAAATGAAAATTATATTCAAATTTAAAGCTATGCTTCAAAGGAAAATTATTTTTGTAGTGCTGTAGAACTGATTTTTATAAGACACGAAAAACATTTTTTGACAAAACACTCGGAAGCGGGTGATAAGATACAGATTTTTGATTATCAAAAAATGGGGGAAAGAGGGAGTACGAACCTTTTCTTTACATCTTTTAAATATTAAAAAATCTGTATCTCACTAACCGCTTTCGATTTTTTCGTCGAATATGCTTCTTTGTTCCTTAGAAAAATTAGTTCTACAACGTATATAAAAACAAAGAAATTTCCTCCTAAGGAGCCTGGCATATAAACTATATACGGATTTTAATTACATTTTGATATACATATTTAATCAATTTTTTTCTGGTCGTCACATATCATTTATTTAAGGGTCTATATGGCAGGATTGCCTAATTGAAGAATGCTTGCCATCGAGGGGCTATCTCGGTCTATCGGCGACGATTAAAGAACTGCTTAAAAATAGTAAATTATTGCAGTATTTATAATATGGAATTGGATATTAAGTAGTGAAATCATAAAAAATAATCTATAAATATAGTTACATGAAATTCAACTGCTAAAAAGATTAAATAGAATTAACTATAATACAGGAGGCAGCTAACTGTATTATACAATATTATACACAGGAGGAACGCACATCACGTTAGACACAGAACGCGCATCGCGTTTGACACAAAATGGCTTCTAAATTTTCAATGTCGCAACTCTTTGTATCTATGGCTCTGACAAGTAGATAATAAAGGCGCCGCTCTGGTTCGTTTGTTTCCTATAGTTTCTCTACTTAGTAAAACTTGTAAAATATTCAAATTTTACCCCATTTGCGGGAGGGCGGATTTTCCAATAATTTTAATGCAAATACGCGGAACAGCTCATTCTTCTGCTATTAAGTTCTTTGCTCTAGTCACTGATGAAACACCAATGAAACAAGATAAGATGTGTCAGTCAAATCAGGTCAAATCTTTTGAAGTTCGGCTTAAGAACAGTCAATATGACGGTTACTTTCACTGCCTACACTAGGCCTAGGGAGGGGCCTTGGGCCTAACCTATAAAATGCGTCTTTCACAATAAAAGCAGGCTGAGCTCGAAATCATAATTAACAAGATGATTATGTAAACTCCGGTATAAAGCGCTATATAAATCGAACTACATTTTTATTCCTTAATTATGTAAATTTTACATTAAGATGTACTGTTATAATAAATGAATGCAAGACCCTGTTATGCATGCTAGTCACCGGCAATTTACATACATGCCTCTACTTAGCGCCTATCCCTTACTGAGACTCGGAGAGAATTGGGACCAAGCTCCCTTCTTAAGTAAGAGCTCACGCTACTAAGGAACACCTTAACAAGAATATTACTTTAAGATGTTCCTCTTGTATATAATCAACTTTTTACTTTTTTTGTTAATGCCCTATTTCAAACAATTAACTTTTAGGCTAAAATAGCCAAAAACTAGTTTGTATCACTACAGCAGGGCATTTAGGTCTGGACCGTTGTTAAAGGCAGTAAAAAATTCTATGGGTTTTAAGATAGGCATATCATGCTAAACGAGTAATATATACATGTAGTCACCGGAAATTTACATACATAGGCCTACTTAGCCTATCAGACTGCCCTTACTGAGACTCGGACACAATTGGGGATCAACACGAAGCTCCATTCTTAAGTGACAGTTCACGCTACTAGGAACACAACAAGAATATTACTTTAAGATGTTCCACTTGTATATAATCAACTTTTTACTTTTTTTTTTTTTTTTTTTATATAATCAATTTTTTATTTTTTTTTTTTTTTTTTTTTTTTTTGTTAATGCCCTACTTCAAACAATTAACTTGTAGGCTAAACTAGCCAAAAACTAGGTTTATATCACTACAGCTGGGCATTTAGGTCTGTTATTCAAGACAGTAAAAAATACTATGGGTTTTAAGATAGGCATATCATGCTAAACTGTTGCACAAATATATACATTATTAAAAGCTTGTTAAAAAATACCTTTTATTTTTAATTTCATAGTCATAATGAATATGTACTCATACAGTACTTGCATGGTTCAATGATGTGATTCTTTTTAGATAGTTTATATTTTACGACATATGTAAAAAATTACGAACCGTTCAATAAAATACAGTGCTCAAGAGCCTAAAATACTCATAGGCCAAAAAGTCGTAGGGGGATGCTGACCGTGGTGCAATCACATCCCCCTAAATTGTATTAAAAAACAAATATAGGCCTATATTATTTGTAAGGCCTGTTGTATAGGCCTATAGACAGGGGGGAAATCCCACCCCACCCCGATTCTTAAAAATCATCTTATGCTTGGGCAATATATAGAATTTTTTCAACCTTTATGGGTGTATTAGCGTGAGTAGGCCTGAAATCATTTAAATTTTATCGCTGGCAACTTATTACCTTCTCTCCGGAGTTTTTTGTTTTTACTATTACTATTTTGTTTGCCAATGCAGCCTTCCAC